CAACTTCAGTAAATCAGGTACATCTGGAATTTATTTGGCTGTCACCATAAGAAACTCTCGCCTCTTTTGTGCTCACGTGTAATGTCGAAAGTTAATTCCCGGAGTTTAATGACACATCTCGGCAATTCACACGTTCAGGTACATCAGGAAGTAAGTGTAATTTTGTACTTGGCTCCATCTTGCATACGACACTGGAAGGAGAACGTCGTCTCGTCTTCCCTGTACGAAGCACACAGTAGTTTAATATGTATCGCAGGTAATAAATGTTGCTAATTATCCCGATGAACATATTTGTTAGAGTAGCAAGGTCCGAAAGCTTGAACTTAAGAAGGTGAATACCTCTTAGCTAAATTCCAAGGCAAACATTGAAGCACGGAGACTGCACTGCCTCTGGACGAAAATCAATAAAGACTGACTTTCACTTCCGGGGCTACAATCAATCTCACGTATTTAAAAGCCGATGTACAGGTCTGTCCAATGGAATCGAACCACGTCATTTTCTGTTTAGTTTTCTCTCCGATAGAGTTCGTAAGTTTGTGAGATCTGCTGTCGGCCAATCGCTACGTAGAAGGGTTATTGATTTACCTGACTGCAACAGCAACTGCAACGCCATCACCAGTCTAATTCGGAAAGTCTTTTTACACATGCTACCATCTGTACGCTACATTCAATGCATACGAACAATTGCAAAATTTTTCGAAATGGTTTTTGATCTTCTCAATTCGTATTGCATATTTATTTGTTGATTCTCTTAATTTCCGTCACGTGAATGAGTTTGGATTCAATTGTAACCCCCTTATTTACGTATGGTGATTTCTGTGCGCGAATCCTTACGTATGAGGCTACAACGCGCTTACATAACCTTAGTCACTGTCATTTTATTCGCCATAAAAATATTTCTACACTTTATTTTGTGCATTTTTTAGTCTTATGACGTATCTGTGCACGTATAGGCAGCAGTTAGAAAACATAAAGAAAGGATTTTGTGGGTAATTCCATGTTGATAAGGTCGGATGTTGGTGATCGTGGTCGATTTCGCGTATCTTCCACCTCGGGACTTTGATGCCTTGGTGTGAATTTGTTACAAGTGTTGTGACCCGAATGAGTACGAAATCTTATTACTTACCTCTGGCACGACATCCATACAAAATTTCAGCAATTTCAGACCATCCATGGTCAGTTTAGAAATTTCGTGGGCAGGTCGTCATGTTCAGCTGACGCAGATTACCGCTATAGGGTTGAGTTAGGTTAGGTTAATGGGGCAACTGCGCAGAAGGTGATGCGCCGTGGCGTGTTCAAGTTGTCTATGTTAAGGCATCGTATGAGTTTTATTATCGATTGCGGGAAATTAAAAACTCGAATTTTTGAATGTTCTTAAATTATAGAGCAATCTAATGTTTGAGTCACTACCATGCCTTTATATTTCAAAGATTTTACATTGGTTACCTACTTGTGGA